CCTCCAATCATGTTTATGGACGTACGATTGAATCCTCTCATTGGCATACTCGACCAGTATAACACATGGAAGATGGTCGCAAGATGGTAAAGTTCGTTTTGACGATCGAGTCGTAGTTACAGCGCCGTTGGTCGAAGAAAGGTAAGTTGAGGGAGGTGGAACACTGGGTCGAGGGTGGGAAGCTTGAGGCAGATAGTGCAGTGGACCGAGGATGGAAAAGTTGAGGGAGATAGGGCAATGAGGCAAGGATAAAAAAGTTGAAGGGGATAGGAAGGTTGGGGGAAATAGGACAGTGAATCGAAGGTTGAAGGAGATAGGGCGGTGGGTCGAGGAAAGGTGAGGGAGGTGGAGCAGTTCGCCGAGGCGAGGGAGACAGGGCAGCGGATCGAAAATAGGAAAGTGGAGGGAGATAGGGCAGAGGGTCGAGAATTGAATTAGGATGAATGATTGAATTTTCATGGTTGTGAATATTACCTCGTTTTGTCAGTTTTTGCGTGGTATTTGTTAGATTTTAGTTGTGTTCTGGTAAATATAAATCCTAAACTCGCAAAACCATTCGTGAAATAAGTACCAATAATTTTTCAATGGTAGAGTGTAAAGAGGAAGAATTCAACAGATCAAAAGTCCGGGAAACATTCGTTACTTAGTTGTTCGCATTGCTATATCCTTCTACGTAGACTTTAGGTTCTTAAAGTGCTCCGTACGGAGCCTCAGGAGACGCTTAGGGCCTCCGCGAGCTATTCGTTTACTCGGAAACTGTCCTCGACCCACTGCCCTATGTCCATCTACTTACCTATCCTCGACCCACTGGCCGACCTCCCTGAACTTTCTTATCCTTGACCCTCTACGTTATCTCTCTATCCTCGACCCACTGCCCTATCTTCCCAATATTACCTCATTTTGTCAGTTTTCGCGTGGTATTTGTTAGATTTTAGTTGTGTTTTGTTAAATATAAGTCCTAAACTCGCAAAACCATTATTGAAATAAGTACCAATAATTTTTCAATGGTAGAGTGTAAAGAGGAAGAATTCAAGAGATCTAAAGTCGGAAAGTCGGGGAAACATTCGTTACTTAGTTGTTCGCATTGTTATATCCTTCTACGTAGACTTTAAGTTCTTAAAGTGCTCCGTACGGAGCCCAGGAGACACTTAGGGCCTCAGCGAGCTATTCGTTTACTCGAAAACTGTCCTCGACCCACTGCCCTATGTCCATCTACTTACCTATCCTCGACCCACTGCCCGACCTCCCTGAACTTTCTATCCCCGACCCACTGCCCTATCTCCCTCAACCTTCCTATCCTCGACCCTCTACGCTATCTCCCAACTTCCACATCCTCGAACCACCGCTCTATCTCCCTCAACCTTTCTCTTCTCGACCCACTGCCCTATCTGCCACAACTTACCTATCTTTGACCTACAGTGCTATACTATTCAGTACCTGACCTAACGGCGCTTTATTCACGACCCGATCACCACACTGAACTTTACTATCTTGCGACCAACTTCCATTGGTTATACTGGTCGTGTATGACAATGAGATGATTCACTTGTACGTCGACAAAACATGATTGACGGCATTCGTAAATGTAGGCTTGAATCTCAAATGGTAAACAATACCCATAATTGGCAATTTAAAAAATGTGTTACTAATTGGGCTACTGATGGTTTCTTGTTGCGAATGACAGTTTTCTAAATTTTAACAAGCCGTTTTATGCCCTTAATAATTGGCCATGTCGTGAGTCTTGTGACAATATGATGCTGATCCGAAATAAGCAATAGTGATCTGGTCCGTATAAAGTTTTTTTTTCCAGCATTTTATAGTAAAAGCGATGCCAAAGATTACGTACGAACTACGTTCTTTTCAACTTCATTAAGTTGCAGATAAGATAAGCTGAATTTTGGGACTATACGCTGAATTAAAGGGCAGTTGGCAACGCTAGCTACGACAAAACATTTCATGGCTTAAAAATAGTTTGGATGGGATTACACTCACTGAGCGACTTATATTTTTGACTGTTTTTTACTTTTCAGCCTTCTCAGTCAAGTAAAAGAAATTTGTATATACACCTATCTGAGTAGGATTGAAAAAGGAGGATATAGGATAGGATAGGATTTACATATTTATCCCGGGGGAGAGGAAAGCCGATAAGACGGCTTATCCATATGGCGAACCACGGCCTCTCGTCCGGTTACCATTCCAAATCGGGCATGGGATTAGTTTTACTGTATTGTTTGTTTTCGGAAGCATGGCCTTGGTGGTGGAGGAAGCCGTAACCGACCAGCGGTTACGTGAACCACCCTACGACGGCGAGGAGTCCAGCAATCCTCTCGCATCTAACCATCCCTGCATGGGATTCGAACCTGCAAACCCACGCAGAGTAATAAGAGGTGCGGTGGCGAGCGTATTCCTAACGCTTAGCCCGTGGGTCGAAAATAAGTAAGTTGAGGGAGGTCGGACAGAGGGTCGAGGGTGGGAAGCTTGAGGCAAATAGTGCAGTGGACCGAGGATGGAAAAGTTGAGGGAGATAGGGCAATCAGTCGAGGATAAAAAGGTTGAAGGGGATAGGAAGGTTGGGGGAAATAGGACAGCGGATCGAAGGTTGAAGGAGATAGGGCGGTGGGTCGAAGAAAGGAAAGTTGAGGGAGATAGGGCAGTCGGTCGAGAATTGAATTGGGATGATTGATTGAATTTTTATGGTTGTGAATATTACCTCGTTTTATCAGTTTTCGCGTGTTATTTGTTAGATTTTAGTTGTGTTTTGGTAAATATAAGTCCTAAACTCGCAAACCATTCTTGAAATAAAAACCAATAATTTTTCAATGGTAGAGTGTAAAGAGGAAGAATTCAAGAGATCAAAAGTCGAGGAAACATTCGCTACTTAGTTGTTCGCATTGCTATATCCTTCTACGTGAACTTTAGGTTATTAAAGTGCTCCGTACGGAGCCTCAGGGGACGCTTAGGGCCTCCGCGAGCTATTCGTTTACTCGAAAACTGTACTCGACCCACTGCCCTATGTCCATCTACTTACCTATTCTCGACCCACTGCCCTATCTCCCTCAACCATCCTATCCTCGACCCTCCACGCTATCTCTCAATCCTCGACCAACCGCCCTATCTCTCTCAACCATGTCGTGAGTCTTGTGACAATATGATGCTGATCCGAAATAAGCAATAGGGCTCTGGTCCGTATAAAGTATTTTTTTCAACATTTTATACTAAAACGTGCGAACTGCGTCCTTTGCAACTTCATTAAGTTGCAGATAAGATGAGCTCAATTTTCACAACAACGTTATTTGGTTGGTGATGATAGAACAGCACTGGCAAATAAATTGAAACTCGGGGAAGCTCAAATCAAGGATTTGGTTTCAAAACAGAAGAATAAAATTTAAAAAGCAGATGTGTACGGAATCGCCTGTTATTGTCGATCACAATTGAAAATTTTTCTTTATTTTAAAATTTTGTACTTTGAACAAGTTCCAATGATTTCCCAAAATTCTTATATCTCATTTTTTAATAAAGCAACGTAAAATCAACTGAGCTCTAACAATTATTTTTATTCGATTGTAACGAAATTCGAATGCACTGCCATGTGGGGAAACCCACGTGAATATGCGCTGGAGTGGGGCACTGGGAAAAATAACGGGAATTGGAATCTATTAGAATTGAACTGTTCGGCTGGATGGTTGGCGGATCATACTGCGCAGTGTGCGCGACTTCAATTTCAGCTGAGAACAATTATGTGTTATATATTGCAGGATCGGGCATGTACAGACTGAAGTCAAAAACAGCCCGTGACACGCGATACGTTTTTATCTGCTTTCTCTTTTTCCGGTATGGATGTGAAATATTTCATCCTGAACATGGCTGTAATCGAAGGTCAATGCTGTTCCACTGCTAATTCATTCAGGCAGTCGTTTTGACTGGGGGAGATGAATGGTCACTGAAAATGAATATACTGGTTCAGATAATTTTGTCAAACAAAATGATGTCAAATTACATGACGAGTTTAAATATTCTCATTTTTTATAGGCCAAATCCAAATATTTCCTGATGTAATAGATGATTCTGAGACCAAACTGCGAGAGGCCTCACCTGCTTTATCCATAGCTGGATATGACTTCATACCAGTGGTTCTTAACCTTTGTGAGCCTGTCAAACCCCTACAGTTTTCTGTAAGCTCCCGTCGAACCACACCGTAGAAAGCGGTTAAAACCAGAGCGCATTAGGAACTTTATAAAGGGAAGCTATACTTTGCAAGGTTTCAGAATATTACCATTGTGGTGTGACTTTATATATATATATATATATTTAAATTGCCATTGTTGTGTAACAATGTGTATCCCGAATGAGAAGCATGTGTTTCTCGTTATATAAGTTGAGTGAAAAAGCGGGTGTGATGGCCAAATACTAATAAAGAAAATATTGCATTTTTTTAAACAGGAAAGATGGTATTATGCCTCAAAAACGTTGGTAGTTTGAGTCAATCTTCCAAAAGCATTCAAAATCGGATAAAGGCGTTTGTCCATTGTTTTGTAGAAATAGAGATACCATATGACTCAGCGCCATATTGAGATTGTGTAGAAAATACGTATTGGCTGTGAGATGACGCCCAAGATAACAACCGATTTTCCCAATTTACTGTGTATTCATTGTGTTGTTTTGCGTGCTTTTTTGTTTAGGGCAAATCAAAATAAACTTATAATTATAAGCAAAAAATTTTAAGCAAATATTCTGTGCCACAAACAGTACTTGAAATCCAAACATGCCTCGATATTATATCTATTTAAGTAAACTGATATTCCTATTTCCACTCATTAGTAAAACTGAGTTACATTTTATTAGTCGATTATGAATGAAGATGTCGTTCACGCAAATATTATCTTAAACCCTTTAGGTTTGTCATAAATACCTAAGATATCTCGTGCTCACAAGCAGAAAGCATCGCAAAACGCTATCACCGAGAAAGACACCCATATGTGGCAATGTGTTCTCAATGAATTGTATTGAAAAAAACATGTGTAACAGTCATTGACAGATCCAATAAAACGTGTATCTACTATCTACGCGAAGCTACACGCGGCTATTTTACGAGTTGCTTAAACGTGTAAACTTGTATATCTGCTATAAACTACAGATCATTTTGGATAATTAGTACGCTGGGTAATGGAAAAGTCCCATAATATACAACTGTTTCAGAGGACCTTCGTCGAACCCATGGAATAGCTTCACCGAACCCCAGGGGTTCGATCGAACCCAAGTTAAGAAACACTGCTTTATACGCAAAAACCCTGCACTAAAACAGGAGGGGTCATTCTATTATTATTCATATTACAATGTATCAAATTTCATATTATCTACGCGATGATCTTAGTTTAAATAAATTCAACTGAATGTGACTTATGGATTGAAATTGATCAAGCTGGATCAGCCGTAAACGTGAATAACGTTACCGTAATATTTGTAAATACTGCAACTTTCGCATAGCACACGTTAGCAAAATCAAAGCGGAAGCTGTCAACAACAAGGAAATAATACTAATAATAATAAATAAATCATACACAACAGTGAATGACTTTTTTCATCATGTTGTCCTCTTTGGTGATTTTCTTAAATAATTGATGTGTTTTTTTCTACAGTCTCCTTTATTCCCAGAACAGAGAAATCGCGTTTTGCACTGATATGATGGAGTTTGGAAGCAACATAAAAACAGATAATAGAAATAATATTCAACTGTTTTTCCGCTAATATACTCCCCATGTTTATTACATCTTTTACTTTACCAACAAATTGTCGCAAAAAATCATCTTCTATTACAAGTTCTTCTAAACTTTGCGTCTTCAGATGTTTGCATATTGAAGCCAGAGCATTTCTCACTCTGTCTCCACCTTCCATGTTCTTGTCGCGAATGTCTACCATTATCTTATTGTAGAGTGTCTCCCATGTTTTACTAACTACTGATAAAACGTTGGCCCAATCGTCTTTAATTTCTTCCGGTATTGCAACCACTGTCGAATAAAAAGTTGAATATATATGTTGACATTTTATAACAAGCATAGAGCACGAAGTCTAAATCTGACCAATCAACCAGTAGAGTTTTGACTTATAGCACGTTGATTAATATTGATAAATGTCAATTTCTCAAAATAAAAAGAACTTATTCAGAACCTTCGTTTGACAAGAAAAAAAAATATGCAAAATTGAAGCAATATTCTGTACCTTCTTTCCGGTATATGCGGATAAATTTGGACGCTTCTTCATTTTCATGTAATAGTGCTTCGTGTCCTTTATCAGCCATTTCGTTGAGTTGATATCTGTCCATCGTTTCTGTGCCTCCGCCAGAAGTTTGGCTTTCTGTGACCACAGAGAGTCGTTATTCCTACTTTCAACCATGAACAGCCGTTGTTCATGGCAACAAATATAAAGATAAAAATCGGTAGATAGGTTTGATTGGGATTGGGAACAAGTTACATTTATTGATAAAGAACTAAAAGAAGTCTCAGTGAGAACTTTGTAACTAACATCCCGATCCAATTTTAATCCAAGCACTAATCTAACATTTCCTCTTCCGTTCATTTCAGTTTATTCAACAACACACGAGAAGAGCAACAACTTGTACTTATTTAATATGATTAGCACTTTATCTGTTGACCCCCTGAGTTCCCGCCGTGGACCCCTGTGGGTCCACTTGGACCACGTTGAGAAGCCGTGAGGTAAATGAACCGTCATTTCGGGATCAAACTGTTTCGTTGGAAATCATTTATCATATCGCGTCCTAACCTAATTAATTTTTATGGTCGCTTCTTAATGGTATTGGAAGCATCATTACTAAGGTCGTGTTAATAGCTCAGTGTTGTTAGACAATTACAAATTTCCCTAGCCAATGTTATGATACCATACTCTCATAATCATTAGAACTCCCTACTCCATTATCAGTGTAAAACCTTACAAGATTGTGATACAATACATACGGTTATGGAGCAAATCAATGCTGTTATCAAAAGTAAGAGTATAAGATAATCAATAAGATATTTCTTTTGGAAGAAAAATAAGTCAGAATATATATGTAATAACTGAAGTCCAAATTTCCAAGATCAATCTAAATTCCGTACTCGCACGCCTTCTAATTTGTCAATCCCTGAAATTGCAGCAGTCTTTTGGCCTCAATAATTGTAGCGTATTTATAAACAGACCCCGTAATAGAAGAACCATGCATCACACACCTTCTGGCAAAAAAAATCAATCTTCACTCACTGAAAATTTCAAAGCAATTGGTCCAGTATTCGAAGAGAAAAGCGATTTTTTAAAAATGATGGAGACAAATAATAACAATACCAACATATTATTGAAACAATCGTTATGTCCAATAAACGTGTCCAATTATGCAAAACAAATCAAACCTCATCCTTTAACTTAAAAAAAACAAGCAAACATATCCGCTCATTGCGACAATTAAATTAGCACTACTCAACGGCAAACTTCTAACACTAAATAAATAGTAAACAGCCGACTGGCAATGATTCGAAATAATAAATAAACATGAATAAGGGAAAAGCCTGATAAAGGGTTTTGTTTACGCCGACAGGCCTATTCCTGCCCACGGACAGATGATGAAATTGTTTTAAAAAGGAATAATTTTATGAGCGGTCAACCATATAAGAAACCTCAATGAACGATATCTCCTAAAATAAACACGGTCAAATATATACAAAATAAAACAAAGAAACTTTGTCTATAACATGTTATGTCGAGATGCTAATTAATTAATTTAAGTCTCTGCTTAATTAAGATAGGTATTTAACCCGATGTCAGTCATTCAAAACTTGCACAAGGTTTTAAAATGCCAGCTCAAGCCTCATAAACGGCGCTCCAGAAGTGCGTGTACAAATATGGAGGTAACTAATTTGTTGGCCCACTTTACATCAAGGACTGAAACCTACGGTAAGGGGTATATGTACTTGGCCAACACAGGAAGTCCGATTTCAAAATATAACAAAAATAAGGAAAATCTTAATAAAGTTATGGCTTATTAACCCAAACTCAGTTCACATACTACGGGAATATTTATCCTATAAACTTATGGCAATGTGTAGAAATATGAACCAGCTTGCAATATTATTTACAATTACCAGAATAATAATGAACGTGAAAGACTTCTAACATTTTTCCACCCATGTTTGTTTTTTGCCTAGACATGGGCATTTGTCACAATATTTAAACATAGTATTTGCCTGAAGCAGCGGGCTAAGATTTTTTGCAATCTTGTAATTTTCATGGCATACGACGCATCTGTTATTGAAGCTGACGTTTGCTATCTGTGCCCAAATTGTGCGGTACTTACCCCCGTGTCTATTTGATACAGCAAACAGGAGATTTTATTATAACGATGACTTGTAATATCTTGTCACAATGTAATTGTTTGTCGGTCAATGGTACAGAACAGTCACTCTAAACTGCATGGTCAGCGAAAGTCATTTTGCTGTCACCGATTTTGACAGACCGATCTTGATGGGCGACGTACCAACAGTTGAAAAGGTGGATTGGTCTTCTTGTACAAGAGCTTTTCTTACTTGTAATTTTGTAATTACTGTGACGTTTCCAGTTGGTTTTGATGAATTTGGCAGTTTTGTGAAGCTGGGTAATTTTTGCTGCCCAAACATACTTCTATAAAAAAACACGATCTGCATTGCGGTGATAACAATATTGTCATATCATCTCTATTGTACATATTGAATTATGTCCAGGTACGTTTTAATAATACTCCTACACCCCTCTCTTTGAAGTCTCAGATGGGCGATTTCATAAAAAATACAAAAAGGGTAGGATTTGGGTCAAGTCCCTGCTCCCTTGGCACAAATAGAAATAGCTACTCTGACTTCAAGTTTACTGGTGACGCGGTTTATTAGTTTTCTATATTCAACTTATTATTTAGTATACTTGCGTGATTAACATACAGATCTTCCGTACAACGGAAATTTTTATATTAATTTATGGCATCATATTACATCAGTGGTTCTCAACCTGTGGTACGCGGAAGCTTTCCAAGTGGTACGCGAGCAGCTTTGAATAATTGCAACAATTAACTTTCGCGTTCGCTGAAATATGCTGTCAAAGCTTTCTATTTATTTTCCATACTGTATGTATTCACGGAATGGCGTTTATAGTGCTACCAGTACTTGTATTTAGAGATCGCCCTCCCCGCTACTGCCCGCTTTAAACGAAACGAGACGAGCATGTTTTGCACTTAGTTCTGAAACGAAACGAGAAGAGCACGTTCTTGCACGTTTTTCGTGTAATGTCACGATGCGTCTGCATCGAGAAAAATCGGACAAGGCGAGTCGAAAATCGATATACGGATGTTACAAGTGCTACCTGCAGGACGTATTGGTTGATCGGCATACTCTTAAGTTTTAAGGCTAATTCATCAGTAATTTTTTGATTGTTTATTTATACATTTCGAAGCGAAAGTATACCTCCGAATACATCAAATATGGGTTCATTGCTATTGAGCAGAATGGAGAAAGTTTACCGCAGTGCGTGGTCTGCATGAAAACCCTTTCAAATTCAGTAATAAAACCGAGTTTGCTTAAACGACATCTAGAATCCAATCACGCAGATAAAAAGAACCACGATAAAAGTTATTTTGAGCGACTCAGGGAACATGTGAAGCGACAGCGCATAGACCAGAGAGGTCAGTTTCACCAAACGAATGCCGGGATTGTGAAGTCATCCTATGAAGTATTGCTTCTCGTGGCTCAAAACAAGAAAGCTCATACCATCGCGGAATCGCTTGTTTTGCCAGCAGCAAGAATATAAGTCAGAAACCTGATTGGCAAAGAGTCCCTGGCAAAGTTAGATCGTGTATCGCTTTCTAACGATACTGTGAAACACGGATCAAAGTAATGTCCCTTGATATCGAAGATCAAGTGATTGCTGGAATGAAAGGATCGATGTTTGGGGTTTTGCTATACAACTTGATGAATCGACTGATGTCACCAAGTGTTCTCAATTACTCGTTTAGGTCCGCTTTATTCAGAATAATTCTGTGCAAACAGAATTATTACTGAGCACGGATCTGTCAGCTACAACAAAGGGAATCGATGTCTTCAACGTTTTGGCCGAACTCTTCACCCAAAATGACCTGGATTAGGGCAAGTTGGTTGGATGCACAACTGATGGTGCTCCATCCTTGCTTGGTCGAATTTCAGGGTTCCAATCGCATGTTAAAACCGTATCCCCACGCGCCACATTTGTTCACTGCTTCATCCACAGGTTTGCTCTTTTTGCCGAGGTGCTCCCTCCAGACCTACTGTCATGCTTGGATCGAATAATAAAAATGGTGAATTACGTCAAAACATCTGCTCTTAACCCTCGACTGTTTGCAAGATTGTGTGAAGATTTGAATTCAGATCACGGGATCTCGCGGAAATATCACTTGAAGAGTCTTTGAACATCGACAAGAACTGTTCACATTTTTCCAGGAGACAAGATTTCAAAAGGATTTGGAAAACGAGGAGTTTATATTACAGTTGGCTTACTTATCGGATACTTTTTAAGCTCTTAACGATGTGAATCGTTCGTTGCAAGGGCCAGACAGATCAATCCAAGACTTTGTCTCTAAGCTTGAAGTGTTCGTTCGGAAGCTGGACATTTGGATGAAAAATGTGGAGAGCAAACGTTACGGAATGTTCGAATTCCTCACCACCGTTTCGTGGGAACCAAATGAAAAATTGTCTCAAGAAATTGCAGAACATCTAAGATTGCTAATAACGGAACTGATGCATTACTTTCCGCATACAATATGCTGCCCATATATGGTTAATCCGATTTTTGTCAATCCCGCACTTCTACCTGTTGGAACTGGTGAACAAGAAGAGATAATTGATATCCAAGCTGATGAAACTGCAAAAAATGAGCACAGAGAATGCTCTTCATCACGAATCAATTTCTGGCTAAAATTGTCTTCTAGTTACCCGACACTGGCCCGTAATGCTGTTCCTCAACTATTGGTTTTTCCCTCCACTTGGGAGTGCGACCAGGGTTTCTCAGCCATGATGACAATTAAAACCAAGAGCAGAAATTGCCTAAATGAGCCTGGACATGATTTTCGATGTGCTGTGAGTGTAGTCAAACCATGGTTAACTGAATATTCACTGAACTTATTTCCAACTATCTATAATCAAAAGAATTATGGTAACACCTAGTACATTGTGAGCTATTTTGGACAAATCCCACTCGAAAAAATACATTACCTGAAAATCGAAATTTGAACGTTGCACAGTTGAAATTCAGATTAAAATCTATTCTAACGAACTGTGGCATATTTGAAAGCTCTGTTACTTTTCAGCGGCTGTATTCCTAATTAACAAATGGGATTCAACTTGTTATTGAGACTCGTGGAAATGTAGGAATTAGGACAACTTTATATACCGCAAGTCCAAGTCGCTCATGCCGATACCACTTTAATTTGTTTTCCACTTTCATTCCCTTTGTTCTCCAGTTTGAATTACATGATTAAGCAAACTCACGGTCATCAGAACACGAAACTTTGCATTCAATGGGAAAGGAAAAGTTTATTGCCTTTCTAGACCGTGCTATTGGATTTAATTCTGCGGGAACTTGAGTTTTCATAACCGCCGATTCTTCTTCCCGTTCCCGAAATGGTAACTATATTTGTTTAAAAAATGGTTAATTAATCAGGTGAAGCTTCGATTTAAAACAAGGGCTTGTTTTGAATCAATTTGCTTTATTGAAATAACCCTTGCATAGCCGTGAAACCGCATAAGCTGCCAGAATTATATTTTTAGCAATGTAAGTAAAAATTCTTGTATTGTATCTTTGCAAGTTTGTATCTAAACCAAAGTCATACGATTTTAACAGGAATATTTATCCGAGATACCAGAGAGACGTTTCGAGTGAGAAAAATCATGAAACTTATTTAATCAAGGGCAGCCATCGGCAAAACGAGTGCGTTATGATAATGAGGA